CCCCGGGATATACATACATATGTGTGTGTGTGCGTGTGTGTGTGTGTGTGTGTGTGTGTGCGTGTGTGTGTGTGTGTGCTCCCTCCTCTCTCGCATCGACAAGTCGCTGTTTCACCTTCCGGCGCTGCATCGGCAGGCCCCGCGAGTTCCCCGTAGAGGCCGAGACCCAGCCTCCATCCCTCCTTGAGCATGGACCGACCGTCCAGGCAGTTCTATAGGCCTACCACGAAATGTTCTTAGAATCCAGAAACGTTCTAAGAACAAAAACAGTGTTCTCAGAGCATAAACCCGATGTGATAAAACAAGACAGACCCGGCCAGAAATGTTCTAAGAACATGTCGGGCAAACCACAAAACGTTTCTCGAACACTCTTCGGTGGGGCTATGGGCGAGCCAGGACGCTTCGCCACTGCCGGATCTCTGCAGCCACCGTGCTGCCACGAGGAACGCCAGATGGGGAACGGAGGGGCTCTCGCCTGGCCACGGCGGGCCCCCCCGACCTGGACCTGCGCGGCCCGAGCGCCAGTCCCCTCCCGAGCCCAGGGCAGTCCCTGTTTCTGAAGCGCGCAAAAAACGCACCCGAGTGGTCTGTGAACCTCCTGGGAGCTCCCAAAGGCGAGAGAGCCGCCAGGACGCCGCGTGACACGCGCGATTATGCAGGGTTTTTACCCTGTCATCCCACAGGAGGTTCAGCGCACAGCGCCTCGCAAACCAGGGCAGGGTCGTTTTTATGCCCTTGATGTTTGGGCTGGCTCAGAGCGGGAAACATGGGGCTTGATTCGGGGATGCCTCGCCGATTCATCGGCGATCGGGGGTCGATGCATGAGCGATGCGGGAAACATGGGGCCACCAGCGGCGATGAATGAGCGATCGGGGGTCGATGCATCCCATCTTCCCCATTGGCTTATCACATCCGAAAGCAGGGCTGAACCTGAAGAGTGTTTTTCGTTTTCGTTTTGTGTTCGTCTTCCTTCGCCTTTGTCTCGAGTCCGCCATTACCGCAAAAAGAAGTCGAAACGAAAACGGCCCACGAAATCACCAAAAACACCGTTTAGGTCCAGCCCTGTCCTGAAGAGCTGCCCCTGCTTGAGCTTCTTGACTGCACCCGCTCCCCCCCCCGCTCCTCGTCCTCATCCTTGGTGCCCCGAGTGGCGCGGGCCAGAGCCTGGCCAGCTGGCCACGACCATCACCGCCCGCGCCCCCGAAATGCGATGTGCGAAGGATCGCGATCCACCATCCCTCCCCCCCCCCCAACCATCCCCCCCTCCCCCCGGCAAAGAAACTCGGGTGGCCAAACCCGCCCCCACGACAGACCCCTGGGAAATTATTCAGGGGGTCCAAAGATCCCCCTCCCACTTTGAGAAAATCATTCGGGAGGCCGCAAGCCGCCCGCTCGGGCAACGACGACGATGACGACAATAACGACGGCGAGGACGACGACGCCTTCGGCGACGCCGACGACGGCGACAACGTCCGCGTCAGCGGCGGCGACGGTGCACTTGTCGCCAACGCCAGCGGCTCTGATAGGATGCTACTAGATGTCGATCTATCTCTCTCAGAATAGTGATAGCCTACTGTACTCTCCCCAGCTCTACTCCACGCTACGCCACTTTACTCTACTCTCCTCGACTCTACTCAACCCTGGTGTACCCTAACATACTCTAGCCTACTCTACGTTGCTCCTCTCTACTCTACTCTACTCCACTCCTGCTCTACCAAGCTCTGCTCTACCGTACTCTACTCTGTGTCTGCTCTACTCTACCCATATACTCTTCTCTACTCGACTCTGCCCTACACTAATACGCTATAGAAATACTTATATATATATATATATACATATATATGCATCCCGAATCTGATCGATCCTACTCTGCTCTACCCTACAGTATCCCACCGTACTCTACTCGACACTACTCCACCCTACTCCCTATTATAGTCTACTCTGCGCCTATTCTACTCTGCTCGTCATCGTCGTCGTCGCCTTCGTCGTCTTCGTCGTCATCGTCGTCGGCGTCGTCGTCTTCGGTATCGTCGTCGGCGTCGGCGTCAGTCGGAGTCGGCGTCGTCGTTGTCGTCGTGCGTCCTTCGTCGTCGTTTCCGTGGGAGTGGCCCCCCCCGAATAATTTTCCCGCGGGGGGGAATGCTAGTAGGCGTCGATCCATCTATTGCAGTATCTTATAAAGGCATTGCTGTATTCTCCCCTACTCTACTCTACCCTACTCTACCCTACGCAACTGTACCCAACCGTTCCCTAACATACTCTTGTCTACTGGAATTTGCTCATGCTCTGTTCTGTTCTACTCTACTCTACTGCTCTATTCCTATTATGCTCAGCTCCGCTCTACTCTACTGTAGTTCAGCTCTCTCGACTCGTCTCTACTCACCTACTCTTCTCGACTCGACTCTACTCTAATCAACGCTACTCTACTCTACGTAGTCTGATCGGCATTCCCGTTCCTAATCTACCTTCATACATTATACCCTACCGTATCCGTTACACTGCTCGACTCTATTTTACCATACACTACTCTACTCCTTTGGCACTACTCTACACCTGTTCGGCTCTGCTCGTCGTCGTCGTCTTCGTCGTCGTCGCTGTCGTCGATGTCGTCGTCGACGTCGTCGGCGCTGTCGTCGGCGTCGGCGTCGGCGCGGCATCGTCGTCGTCGTGGTCGTCGTGCGGCGTTGCCGGGGGGGGGGGGGGAATCTGGACCCCTCGAATAATTTCCCCGGGGGGTTTGACCCCCCCGAATATATTTCCCAGAGGAAGGGTGGGGGTTCTGGACACCCCCGCTATGGTTTTGGGAGGGAGGGGTGGGAGGTTTAGACCCCCCCCCCTGTCAGCAGCGGCAGGAAACGCTCTGTCCCATGTGCTAAACAACTCCTCCCTGTCGTGACCCCAGACATGGCGAAAGGGCGGGCCGTGCGATTCGCCTGAGACTTCCTTACAATTCATGGTCCTGAAGCTTGACACTTGCAGCAGTTTCAAGGGATAGAAGACGGGCCCTGTTCAAAATGTGGCTCTCGCCTTAGCGCCGCAGTTCGCAACTGTTTCAATGATGGAGGGCGAGGCGTTTTCAAGATGTGGCTCTCGCACTACCGTCGCGCGCAACCTTTCTAAAAAGAATGCGACAGATTGAACGGCGGCTGGTTGTCAAAATGTGGCTCTGGCCTTCGGTCCACACACATTCGCCGTAAAAGTTTGCAACGGTCTAAGAGGACGGAGGCGGGCTCCTTCTCAAAACGTCGCCCTTGCCAAAGCGTCGCGCACATGCGTTTTCAAAGTGTGCAACACTCCAAGGATTCATGCGGTTGAAATCCAAGGAATGGCGTTCTGCTACGATCCAGAATTGTGAAGGCGCAACAGTCACGTGGATCAGCGGAGTTCAAGTCTCAGGAATGGTTCTGGCACGGTTTAGGATTGCCAGGACACAGAGGTCACGTTGATTCGCGTAGAAGTTCCTGGAATGATAGCTTGGCACGGTTGAAAATTCCCAGACTGTTGTCTTCAAATTAAGCACTTCCCTGAATGGAAATTCAAAGATCCTCGCAGCGTGTGTGAGAGGCTTTCCTGTTTGAGCCGTCGTCGTCGTCGCCACTCCCCAGCAAGCGTTCCATCCAGAGAAAATTCGAACAAGCGTCGTCGTCATCATCGCCGTCGCCGTCGTCCTGCTGGGTCGGCGACACCAGCCGTACGGCCTTCGCAGTAGTTTGATTTTAGGAGCCTATGAAGAGGGAACGTGGAGCGAGGGCCGATTGCGGCATAGCTGATGCGTCTTGATTCACACGGGTGCTCCTCCTCCGCCTCCTCCTCCTCCGCCTCCTCCTGCTTCCGCCTCCTCCGCCTCCTCCTGCTTCAGCCTCCTCCGCCTCCTCCCCCTCCGCCTCCTCTGCCTCATCCACCTCTACCTCCACCTCCTCCTCATCCTACTCCTCCTCCACCTCCTCCTCCTCCTCCTCCTGATGCTCTTCATCGTCCTCCTCCTCCTCCTCTTCCTCTTCCTCTTCCTCCGTGTCATCCTCCCCCATACTCGTCCTCGTCATCTGCATCATAATCATCATCAGCATCATCAGCATCATCATCATCAGCATCATCATCGTCATCATGATACTCACCACCACCACCATCAGCATCATCACCATCATCATATCAGCATCAGCTTCATCATCAGCATCATCAGCAACATCATCATCGTCATCACCGTCGTCATCATCAACATCATCAGCATCACCATCATCAGCATAATCAGCAACAACAGCATCATCCTAATCATCAGCATCGTCATCACCCTCAGATCACCACGGACATCATCATCATCATCAGCATCATCATCAGCATCATCATCACCATTACCATCAGCATTGTCGTCGTTGTCATCGTCATCATCACCACCAACCTCATCATAATCATCATGATCACCATCGTCGTCATCAGCATCATCACTATCATCCTCGGCATCATCATCAGCATCATCATGATAGCCGCCATCATGACCATCATCGCCACCATAATCATACTCACCACCACCATAATCATCAACATCATCAACATAAACATCAGCGTCTCCATTACCATCACCCTCACCAGCATGACCATCCTCATCGCCATGACATGAATCCTCCTTTCAGCCTCATCATCATCATCCTCTTCCTCCTCCTCCTCATCATCATCATGACATTCATCATCATCATCAGCAGCAGCAGCATCATCATCATCATCATCATCATCATCATCATCATCATCATCACGACCCTCATGACCATCATCATCATCATCATCATCATCATCATCATCATCATCGTCGTCATCATCATCAGCTTCTTCATCATCACGATATGCCCATCCTCCTCTTCCAGGCACATCCTCCTCGTCATCCTCCCTCTCCTTCTCCTTTTCCTCCTCCTCCTCCTCGCCCTGTGGCTCCTCCTGCTCCTCCTCCTCCTCCTCCTCCTCCTGCGGCTCCTCCTGCTCTTCCTCCTGTGGCTACCCGAGTCGGCTGCAATAGTAGCGGTTGAAGTGCATCGCCATGAACACGCCGGGGCCGCACAGCTCGTGCGGGCACTCGCGTCGCAGACGGGACACCTGGGATCCGAACGTCTCCGTCTCGTCTTCGCGATCCTCCTCCTCCTCCTCCTCCGCCTCCTCCTCCTGCTCTTCTTCCTCCCCCTCCTCGTCTCATCATCGCCATCATCATCACCATCATCATGACTATCACCTGAGTCGTCATCAGCATCACTGCCACCATCAGCAGCAGCAGAATCATCATCATCCTCATCATCAGCATCAGCATCATCATCAGCATCAGCATCAGCATCATAATCATCATCAGCATCATCATCTTCATCACCATCGTCATCAACGTCATCGCCGTCACACTCATGATTACCCTCATGATTGACATCATCATGGAAACCATCATCATCAGTGCCTTCGTCATCAACAGCATCTTGGTTATCGCCAAGATTCTCGACACCCGCAACGTCGTCATCATCGCGATGATGACTTCAATAGTGATCCGAGTAGAAAGCATCGCAAACATCATCACAGTAACCATCATCGTCATCATCATCATCAGCAGCATCATCATGATCAGCATTGTCTTCATCACTGAACTCGTCCTCATCGACAGCTTTGACAAATACCTCATCCATCCACAACAATCATCAGCAACAATACCTCATAATAAACAGGTACAGATCACCAGCATCCTCTTTAAAAATACACTCGTCATCCTCATGATCATGGTCGTCATCATTTTCATCATCACCACCACCACCATAATCAAGTCCAACCTAGTCATCAGCAACGTCATAATCGTCACCGTCACCATTAGCAAGCCACGATCAACATCACCACAATCACCACAGCCATCATCATGATCATCATCATCATCATCAGTCATCATCACCATCAGCACCGTCATCAGCAGCGTCATCGTTATCAGCAGCATCATCATCAGCAGCAGCATCATCATCAGCATCAGCAGCTACAGCGGCATCATAATCGTGGCTCGTCCTCATCTTCCTCCCTACCCCTTCTCCTCCCTATCCTCATCTATCTGCATCAGTCACCCCTCCCGTCCGGCGTCTCCATTTCCCTCCTGCTCAACCTCCTCGGCTCCTCATCACCCCCTCCTCATCTTTCTCCATCATGGCTCCACTACCTCGCATCACCCTCATGCGCTGACCACGTCGCCTCCTCATCCTCCACTTCATCCCTGTCCGTCTCCTCGCCTCACTCCTCCGGGTCATCACATTCCTATTCCTCATCCTGCTCAGCATCCTCCTCCTCCTCATCATCATCCTTATCGTCGTCGACGTCGTCGTCGACGTCGTCGTCGCCGTATTCGTCTACATCGTCATCCCCATCAATGTGATAATGTTCGTACTCATCCTTCCCCCAACAACTACCACACATCCACATACACACGCCTCCTGTGCCTGCCCCCGCCCTACTCCTCATCCCCCCTACCCTGCTTCATCATCCAGCCACTCCTCTTCCTCCTGCTGATGACCCTCCACCTCCCTCCTCCTCCCTTTCGTCCTCTTCCTCCTCGTCCTCGTGGGCGTCCCCGTCCTCCTCCATCATCTTCTTTCCATATGAATAACTCCTCCCTATCGCATCCCCAGACGTGTCGGTAGGGCGGGCCGAGCGTTTCACCTGAGATACCTCGCCATGAATGGTCCTGCTCTATGGAATCCGCAACAACTTAACAACTGAATGTGGATCTCGACTTAGCGCCGCGCACGTAAAAAATACAGTAACACATTCAATGGTAAAGGACAGGTGGTTCTCAACATGTGGCTCTCGTTTGAGCGCCGCGCAAAGTCGTTCGAAAAGTGTGCAACAAACTCAAGGATGAAGAGCGATTCATGTTTTCAGAATGTGGCCCTCGCCTTAGCGCCGCGCACATCGTATGTTTCATATGGTCCAGGTGCGCAACATGCGTGAACGTTCGTATGGTTGAAAACCCAGGGGTGGTGTTCTGGCCCAACTTAGGAATGTCAAGACGCAAGTAACAGTCACCTTGATCCGCGGCGTTGCAGTCCCAGGAATGTCGATTTATCAGGATTTGGGAGTTCCAGACGGTTGTCTTCTAGTGTGCCACCCCACACACTGACAATAAATTCGCGCAGCGACATGCGAAGAGGAACTTGGAGGGAGGGTGTATTATAACATCGTTGGTGCTTTTTGGGCAGAAACTGATCATATTCCTCCTCATCAGTATCCTCCTCTTCCTCTTCCTGGTCCTCCTCCTCCTCCTTACCCTCCGTTTCCTGCCACTCCGCATGCCCTTGCGACTCCTCCTGATCCACTTTGCTTCCGCCCTCTTCACTTTCCGTCTCCAATATGCTCCCCCTGCAAAAAATACATTCGGCGCTCAGAAATAGACCTTTGGCCTGAACTGCTCAGCAATGCTGAGCAGGCGGCCGCGGCTTGATTATGTACATATATATGTGTGTGTATATATATATTATGTATGTATATATCAGAGTGGGGGTCGAACGGTCATTCACTGTCCCTGGGTGCGTGGCTTAAGTGGGATTCCGCGGTGCAGATTATCGTTGTTGTTGTTTGTTGTTGTTTGTTGTTGTTTGTTGTCGTCGTCCTACCCGCAACCCGCCCCGCGACCCACCCGCGCGCGACCCACCCCGCGACCCACCCCGCGACCCACCCGTGACCCACCCGGGACCCACCCGCGACCCACCCCGCGACCTACCCGCGACCCACCCCGCGACCCACCCCGCGACCCACCTGCGACCCACCCGCGACCCACCCGCGACCTACCCCGCGACCCACCCCACGACCCACCCCGCGACCCACCCGCGACCCACCCGCGACCCACCCGCGACCCACCCCGCGACCCCCCGCGACCCACCCGCGACCCACCCCGACCCGCGACCCACCACGTTCAAGGTACAAACAAACATTTTCGGCGCCCGCGGCGGGTTTTTTTTGCATGCATGCCTTCCAGGTGGAGAACCCGCGACCCACCCCGCGACCAACTCGCGACCCAAACCACGATCAGGATACAAACCGTACGTTTCGGCGCCTGCGGCGAGCATCTTTTGCATTCGTTCCAGGTGGAGAGCCCGCGGCCCACCCGCGACCACGTTCTTCAGGGTACAAACCACATTTTTCGGCGCCTGCGGCGGGCATATTTTGCATTCCTTCCCGGCGGAGAACCCGCGGCCCACCCGCGACCCAAACCACGTTCAGTGTACAAACCAGTTTTTTCCGGCGCCTGCGGCAGGCTGTTTTTTGCATTCCTTCCAGGTGTAGGTGGAGAGCCCGCGACCCACCCGCGACCCAAATCACGTTCTCTGAACAAACCAATGCCGCCGCACAAACGCGGCGGCGGATTTTAGCATGCCGTCTGAGCCCGCAACGACCTCTTCAAGCCCCGCGCATCCACGCCAGCCCGTCCAGCAATGCTGCCCTGGCGAGTTGCCTTGATCAAAGAAGTCGGGGAGCATATAGTGGAAAAAAGATTGCGTTGCCGTTATATTGGGAAAAGGAGGGGGGGCAGGAGGAGTAAACAGGGGACGAGGAGGACGCGGAAGAAAAGAGGATGTAAGGAAAATGTGGAGAAAGAGGAGGGAGGAGCAGGAGGACGAGGAGGGGCCTGAAGAGGGGGAGGAGGAGGAGGAGGGGGAGGAGGAGAACGAGAAGGAGGAGGGGGAGAAGGGGGAGGAGGAGGATGATGGACGACAATGGGAGGACGATGATGGAGGCCGATGAGGGGGAGGACGACAATGGGAGGACGATGATGGAAGGACGAGGGGGGGAGAGGGAGGACGAGGAAGAAGAGGAGGAGGAGGAGGAGGACGAGGTGGAGGAGGAGGACGATGACGATGACGATGAGGACGAAGACGAGGGCGAGGAAGAGGAGGAGGAGGAGGAGGAGGAGGAGGAAGAGAGCGCCATCGACAAGGAAGGTGGGGGCCACGAGGTCCGCTGGCTCTACGACGCCCGCGTCGCCCGCGCCCGCCCCCTCACTCTTATCCGCAATTGTGGGGTGCTACACATATATATATATATATATATATATATATAAACTCGCTTCGCGACCGCCTTCATCCGCCTTCCGCCTAATCCCCTACTGACGAGACCCCCCTCCGCGAGGGCAGCGCGGACAAGAGTTGCGAGACCGACACATCAGGGACCCCAGAACCATGCCTCCTCCTCCTCGTTCTTCTTTCTCGAGGCCGAAGTCACGTGTTGGACAGCCGGCTGCCCATTGAAAGTGTGAGTGTCCTCACTGCCTCCACCGCTTCACCCAGAGCAAACGATTCGGCCGTGTGAAGGAAGATATAAGGTTGCTGATGAAAGTACCTGCTATTATAATTGAGATCGTCGCTGCACAGTGCTGCTTTCACACGACCGCGTCAATGCACCACCAAACGGCTTCGGAGAACGCCCCAGCACGCGTGACGCCCACTGTGTGCACTAGGAAATTCGCATTCGCCAGGTCTTCGGTAAAGAAGTTCACAGGCTGAGACCAGGAACTCCGGCTCTCCATGGTGCAGTTCACCAGGAAATCTGCACGGATATTCCACGCCCGCTGTTGCCAGCATACCATGTCGTCGACATCACGCACTGGACGCCAACAACTTCTCCTCCTCCTCCTCCCCCTCTCCTCTTGTCTCATCTACGTCCCTCCGCCTCCACCTCCTCCATTCCTGCGCCTCCTCATCTTCATCCTCAGTCTCCTCAGCCTCCTCCTCCATTCTCCTCCTCCTCCTCAACAGCAGCAGCACCATGACGAGCGGAGGTAGAAGAGCGTGCACGGGCCTCTACGTCTGCGCGCGCGGGAGATGGGAGGACGCCAACTACTCCAACAGCGAACCCGAACATGAAAGCAACCACACCAGCAAAACTGGCAGAGGTCTCGGAATACGCAACCATGACCAGGTAAGAACCCCTTTATGTCAAAGCGCACCTGGGGAAACGATATACTCACACCGATCCTGGCCAGGCCCGTCACAGGCACGGGATCGGTGCAAGCTCCCTCCAGGCCTGGCCAGGAGAGCGCGCACCCCGAGCCCGGGCTCGGCGGGATCGACCTCGATGGGATCGGAGTGAGCGAACACGGGCAGCGGGCTACCACAAGAAGCGCTGCGTGTGGAGAGCACGACGAGGCTGAACCTGGCCCCCGCGAGCCTCGGCCACGAAGAGGGTCCGGCAACCTGGGCGCGAGGAGCGGCCCGAGAAAATCAGAGCCCCCCCCCGTGAGCCCGAAGTTGAGTATCATTTATCCGATCCCCATCCCCAGCGGCGTGGCCTGGGCCCCCCTGGCCGATTTACCCCCCTGGATGGGGATATAGGCCGTTCCCTTCGGGTTTCGACGAGTGTATCCCCAACTGGGGGGGTAATTTGGTGGGGGTCTCGAAGGGGATAGGGATGGGGACGGGGATCGGATAAACGAGACCGAGAAGTGGCCTGATCTCGGCGTCTTGACTGCAATTGGCGTCCTCCCGCCCGCGACATCGGCCCTGGTTTTTGAAAACACGCGGATCTTTTGGCCTTGAACGAACGCCGCTTCCGGATAGCGCGGATCGTTCGATGTCGGCCTACCCTTGGCAATTTGCAGCGTTCAAACCTGGACGCCCGCGCCGGGGCCGCCGCCACGTCGACATGACACGAACCTGCCGTAGATGCAGAACATCTGGTATGAAGATCGCAGGAAACAAAGACAGCATTAAAGGCGAGGGAAGTCCTTGTCGCTTGAGTCGACCTTGTAGAACTTCAGCACTGCGAGCTTGACCTGGCAGCAGAGCCGCCACCACCCTCCAGCAAATGCTTGCTGCAGCTCAACAACCCCCCGAGCACCATCAGAACCAGCATCAGCATCAGCATCAGCACCATCAGCACCATCACCATCCTCATCCTCATCATCATCCTCATCAGTATCCTCCTCATCATAATCATCCTCACCATCATCATCCTCATCATCCTCATCATCATGATCACCATCATCATCATCATCATCGGTCACGATCGTCCCCTTGATCATCAGCGACAACACCACCATCAGTTTCATCATAAGTCTCGTGATTATCGACGCCCTCTTCTCGTAACTCGGCTTGCATGCGAAGGCCTTCTTGCGCTTGTGCTTGATCTTCTTGGGCTTGGTATACGTCTTCTTCTTGCGCTTCTTGCCGCCTCCCGCGAGCTCAAGACCTCGGGTGGTAGCTGCACTAAATGAGGCTCTGCATGGATCAGGAAGATGAGGAGGAGCAGCAGGAGGGATCTGAGGGATGAAGGAGCGGGAAGGAGGGAGGAGGGGGAGCGAGGAGCGCTAGCTACGGATCACTATATAAGACGAACGTACAGCGACGGCTGCAGGTAAAAGCATCTACATACACGTCATCTGACTCCGTTCGATCCCGGTTCCGCACCTCCAGCACAGCCTCTCTCGCCCTCGTTCTCCTGCTCCTCCTCCACATCCTCCTCTTCCTCCGCCTGGCCCTCCTCCTACTCCTTCTCCTCCTTCCACGCTCTCGCATTCCCTCCCGTAGCATCCTCCTCTCACCTCCCCATCATCATCATCATCATCATCATCATCATCATCATCATCATCACCACCATCAGCATCAGCATCATCATCATCATCACCATCGTCGTCATCATCATCAGCAGCAGCATGAGCAGAATAAGCATCAGCATCAGCATCATCATCACCATCATCAGCATCGTCATCGTCATCAGCAGCATCATCCACATCATCATATCAGTATCATCATCATCAGCATCATCCTCATCATCATCATCACCATCGTCATCATCATTACCATCATCATCAACAACAACATCATCATCATCATCATAATCATCATCATTTTCATCATCAGCATCATCATCAGTATCATCATCATGATTATCATCATCAACATCATCAACACCATCACCACCACCACCACCACAGCATCACGCATCCCCGACGGCGTCCAGCCATTTATAATCACATACGCCCACAGTGAGACATCTTCGCAAGGCCGAGTGCAACGGAAGAGCATGATCGCTCCGGGCTCGGGCCGGGAGGGAAAGGAGGAGGAGGAGGAGGAGAAAGACGAATGAAATACAAAAGGGGCTAGCCTCACATCGAAAATAAGCCGGCACGCCCGAAATAACAAGCGTGCGGATGGAGAGGAAAGAACATAAATCGCACCTCTCTTGGTAGAAAGTGCCTGCGCACGCCTGGCAACGCTTGGCAGGAAAGGCCCTGCAAACGGATGTACACGTCGAGGGAGAAGGCAGGGGAAGGAAGCCCGGGTCGCAAGTTGGGCGCATGCACTCGCCAACTCAAATACCACCTGTAACTAGGCACCGCACGCGAGGAGCAGGAGGGGAGGCAAGGGGCGGAACCCAGGAGCAGCGCCTGGGGTCGGCCGCATGCGGCCCCCAACAGGCCACACGCACGGCACGTGCGAACGGCGGGCTCCAGCCCAGCCAATTCGGAGGGAGAGGAAAGCGAAACACGAAGGCAAAAGCGGAGGAGAAAAACGATGCAGAGGAGGATTGCTCCAGATCGCATACATGCACATGATCGGCGCCGCGCTCGAAAGGTCCCGCGGCTACGCCGTCGCCGCAGCTGCACCAGACAATCTAGCAACGGTCGCAGAGGGCACGCTGCGCGGCCGCGCGGCCGCGGACCAACTCGCGAACAGACTGGCGAACTGGCGCCGCGCGAGGCAATTCACTCTATACACGGCGGCTGTGCGAAGCGATTTGTGCCCCAGACGGGGAGGCTCAGATTCGACGTGGTGGGGCGGGATGTCCTGCACGAGGAAGCACGATCAGCATTCCGGCCTGGTGGGCGGCCGAGCGAGCCCGAGACAGCCTTCTGCAAAACGCCATACCGAAGGACAGGACGCGCAATGCTCGATCTCGTCTGGCACGGCTGGTCCGCCAAAGATGAACTAGTTCGTGCTTTGTGCTGCCGGGAGCCGCCGGTGCGTCACACAGCCATTCCACATGGCACGCCACACTGCCGACCAAGCCCGCGGCGGAACCAGGGCGGCCAGCTAGCGCAACACCAGAAAGCAACGCTGCGCGCGGATCCGAGGAAATAGTGGAACTTCCCACCGTTCCAACTTGTGGCGTGCCCGCGTCTCCAGCCAAGCCTCGCTCGCCAAGGGGGGGCGTCGCCTGGGCCTCGCGCTGAAAGCGGCGCTTCGCTGCGTCGCCCGTGCTGCGCTGGAACGACCGGAGCTCCCCTCCAGCCAAGCGGTCTTCCAGTCGGCGCGTGGTGAGACCTGCCCGAGCGAAGTGTTCCAAGGACGCCTCCAGCTGCAAAGTAAATGCCCTCTGAAACCAGGATGCCCAGCGACCGCGCCGCGCGACGTGCGCGCTGTCTGTGCAATCCAACTGCGATACAAACGCGACCGGGTCGACACTTGGAGCCCATCAGGGAGAGCCCATTGGCGGGCGACTCGGAAGCGGCACGCCAGGGATACATTGCGGGCGTCTGGGAACTCCCTGGGGAGACGAACCGATGCAAGCTGCGCAAATCATCTGGATCGCACCACGCCCCTGGCCCAGGCGCCGAGGCCTGGAAAGCCGCCGCTCCTACATGCTCCCAAGCTTCGTGGAGCCCGTCAAATTGCAGCAGGAATGAAATGACAGGTCGGATATAGACCGCGCAGGCGAGACACGTGAGAAAGAGTTCCTGGCCGACTGCGCCCCCCGCCCTAGCGCGGGCGGCGAACTTCTCCAACGGCCTGTCAAATGCGAGCCTCCCCCTCACGGGCCCCAGGACGAAGCCCAAGCGCCGCGCATGGCCCGAAACGTACGCGCCCGCCCCGGCGGGGTGGTCGCGGCGAACGGCGGCCGCGAGCTCCGGCAGCGACTGGATCGACAGTGGAACCACATTCGTCCTCGGCAAATTGAGCCGCAGACCTGATATCCGGGCGAACTCTTCGAAGGGGCTGGACGAGGGCCGGGAAGGAGGCGAAACCAGAAGTTGAGATCACGGCCGCGTCGTGCGCGCACGCACGCACTACCGCATGTGGGACCAGCCGCGCTATCCGTCGGAGGAGGACGTCCACAGCAATGGAGACAAGGAGCGCTGATAAGGAACAGCCCTGTCGAATGCCAGCCAAAAGCTCGAAACCCACGCGCTGCCGACCCCCTTCCACCAGGCCGATTGTGATATGCTGGTAGGCTGCCGCGACGAAGCGGAACGCCCAGACAGGCAAGCCCTCCGCGGCCAGCGAGTCCTGGAAGTAGGAATGCGAAACGCTCGGGAAGGCTGCCTTGAAGTCGAAGAAAACAACCGCGCCGTCTTCCTTGCCAATCGCTGCCCGCATCATCGCCCAGTCCCCGCCCACGACCTTCGCGAGCATGGATCTGCCTCCAACAAAGGCCCTCTGCATGGGGAGATCCACAGAGCCAGCAGCGGCTCAATGCGAAGGCGCGCGACGTTCGCCAAAAGTCGGTTGTCGCATTTGACTATGTTCAGTGGCCTCGTACCCCCATCGGTCGTGAAAGTCGCAGGACGCCTCGTCGTAGCCAGAAGGTGTCTTCGGCGGAAAAAATCACGAGGCTGCCGTTGAAACCAGACCCAACGGACGGCCCACGCAGAAATTCGCCCAGTGCCGCGGTGGGGGTGACATCCGAAGCAATCCTCTGTAGAGCGGCGGAACAAAAACACATCAGTCGCCGGAGGCCTGAGCTGCCGCCAGGCCAAGAAGGGCATGCCATCGGGCCCTGGAGATGAGTCTGGCGAGGCTTCCACGGCGGCCAACACGGCCTCGCGTCGCAGAAGCCAGTCTGGGCAGTCCACGGGGGGCACCCGACCAGCAATTGTGTCTTCCTGAAGCCATTGGCTCAGCTTGCGGCGGCCCGGGCGGCAGGACGCGAAAACCGCCGACCAGTGGGCGCGAAGAGCATCAGCCGTCTCTTCAGGGTCTGTCAGGACTTGGCCGCGAGCGTTCCGAACTGCGGGAAGCGCCGCGGACCGTCCGGGGGCCAGGCGCCTGAGGGCGTGGAACAATCGCTCTCGACGATTGTCCCGGTCCTCAGACGCGCGGGCCCCTCGGCCAAGAAGGTCCGCCAGCTGGTATATCGCTGCCTCCCGCGAAAGGTTCCACGGCATGCCGGCGGAAAGCACGAAGACCAGCAACACCGCGTGCACCAATCCCATCGGGTCGGCGACGAGCGTGGCCGAATGCGGGCACTGCTGCAAGCTGCGACGCATCGTGCCAGCGCGGCCTCCCTCTGCCGCGCGCGCGAATCACATGGCACGTCGAACTTTGTCGTCCGCCTCGAGGTCCTCGCTCGCGCCCCGCGCCCGCTCCAAGGACATGCAGTCCAACGCCGCGCGCATTGCGGCCCTGAATTGCAGCAGCCATCGCAAAGGGCACTCTGGCTCGAGATCTGCAGCCACCCTTTCGTGGAACTCTGAGGCCGCCCTCCCAGCCCAGCTGGGGTCTCGAAGAATCGCAACCGGCACAGGGCGAGGCCCGTCGATCGACCGCGCCGGGCAGCGACGGCCGAAGCCACAGCCCTGCGCGCCGAGAGGTGCGGGGCCCATTCCAGCGGAGCGCAAAATAAAAGCCCGTCGAGTTGCTCGGACACAGCTTGGTTCCAGCATACTCGGCCCAGCCGCGACCGCGCTGCAGCTTTGTCGCGGGCCACGGCGGGCTGGCGAACCTCGCGAAGCCCGCATGGAACACCCACATCGCTCATCAGCATCAACATCAACAGCCTCATCCTCTCCGCCATCGTCATGATCGCCAGTCTTTATCCTCAGCAGCATCATGGGATTCAGATTTCTTAATCTGGAACTCCACATGCATCTTCATCGTCACGTTAATCTTCATCTCCATTGTCGACGCCACGGTCATCGTCCTCATCATCACCACCACCATCACCATCATCCCTCCTCCTCCTCCTCCTCCAACTCTTCCTTCTCATCTTCCTCCCCTCTCTCTATCGCCCCCTCCCTCCCTCCCAACTGCTCCTCCTCCACCTCTCCCTTCCCCGCCTCCTCCTCCTCATCATCATCATCATCCTCATGCGCATCCTAGTCCGCTTTCTCGTCCTCAACGTCATTATCATCCCTTCTCCTCCTCGATCCCTTTCCTTCAAACCAACTCTTCCCTGCCGCACCCCCAGACGTGTTGGTAGGGCGGGCTGGGCGTTTCGCCTGAGACTCCCTCACCACTTCTGGTCCTGAAGCTTGAAATGTGCAAATGTGCAACAGCTTCAAGGATGGATGGCGGGTGGTTCTCAACATGTAGTTCTCGTCTCAGCGCCGCGCACATTCGTTTCACAGTTTCCAGCAATGTCAAAACTGGAAGGCGACTCCTTTTCAAAATGTTGATCCTGCCTGGGCGCCGCGCACTTTCGTTGTAGCAATGTACAACAGTTCTAGATGCCACGTTGATTCGCGGCGTTGCAGTCCTACGAATGGTGTTATGGCACGGTTCAGGTTACCAGCACGTTGACTCGCGGCGTTGGGGCCCAAGGAATTGTTGTTTGGCACAACTGAGAATGATCAGACGGCTGTCTTCCAAAGGGACATGTCCCGCAACGAAGCTGGAGTATGCCGTTAGGGACTTATGAAGAGAAAATTCGGAGTGATGGTCTATTGCAGCATCGTTGATGCTTCTTGGGTTTGCACTGGTCCTCAGCATCCTCCTCCTCCTCCTCCTAATCATCATCATCAGCAGCAGCAGCATCATTATCATAATCATAAGCATAATCATAATCAGCATCATCATCATCATGATCATCATCATCATCATCATCATCATCAGCATCATCATCATCATAATCATCATCATCATCATCAGAATCATCATCATCGTCATCAGTAGCATCATCATCAGCAGCATCACCATCAGCAGCATTAGCGTCATTATCAGCATCAGCATCAGCATCCTCATCATCATCATCATAAGCATCATCAGCATCATCATCAGCAGCATCATCATCGTCATCAGAATCATCACCATCAGCACCACCACCACCACAATATCATCACCTTAGTATCAGTATCATCATCATCATCATCAGCATCAGTATCATCATCATCATCAACATCATCATTATCAGCAGCATGAGCATCTTCACCAACATCATTATAATCATAATCATCAGCAGCAGCATCAGCAGCATTAGCATCAGCAGCAGCAGCATCATATGATCAGCAGTATCATCATCAGCAACATCACCATCATCATCAGCAGCAGCATCATCGTCATCGTCAGTAGCATCATCATCAACAATCGCATCGTCATCATCATCAGCAGCATCCGCATCACCATCATCAGCAGCATCATCCTCATCATCGTTATCATAGGCAACAGCATCATTATCTGCATCTTCATCTGCCTCATCGTCGTCATCATCATCAACATCATCAGCATCATCATCATCAGCCTCATCATCATCATCAGCATCATCATCATCATTATCCTCATCATCCTACCTGCACGGCCCAGCCCAGCGCCGCGCCCGCCCGAACGCACGCCGCATGCCGCACGCCGCGCGCGCGCCCGCGCGGAGGCCGAGCGACGCCCGACGACGCCCGACGACGACCGACGACGACAACGACGACGACGACGACGACGACGACGGCGACGGCGACGGCGACGGCGACGGCGACGGCGACGGCGACGACGACGGCGACGGCGACGACGGCGGCGGCGGTGGCCGACGACGCCCGACGACGGGCTGCCGAGGCGGAAGGACCCAGGAAGACGGTCGAGTCGTCCTGGCGGCTGGCGTGGCGGGGCGCGGCGCAAATCCAGAGCGTCAGAATGGGGGGGAGGCGTATCTGCCGCCGCCAGGGGGATCGCACTCTGGGTCTCCTCCTCCTCCTCCTCCTCCTCCTCCTCCTCCTCACCCCCTCCTCATAAACCCTCGTCGTCTTCCTCATCCTCCTCCTTCTCCTCCTTCTCGTCCGCCTCGTCCCCCTCCTCCTCCTCCTCCTCCACCTCCTCCTCCTCCTCATATTCCTCCTCCTCCTCCTCATCGTCCTCCTGTTTCGTTACGCATGACGGCCTCAAGGCACCTGAATCCCAGCCGCTGGTATCCATTGAGTGAGCATAGAGTCGAGGCGAATTCAGCGAATCGAGTCGAGGCGAATCCAGCGGTGGCGACGGGGGCCCCCTGGGAGGTCCCAAGCAGGGGAAAACGAGGGAGAGTTAGCAGTATGGGTACCTCTTCCTCCTCTGGTAGCCTGGAAGGGGCCCGTCGGCGGATCGTGGCGCAACGACGGAAAACGAAGGGAAAGTAGATGGGGTCGGCGGATCGTATCGCCGATACATCGGCGATGCATCGGCGATGCGTGGGCGATGCCCGGCGACGTCGGCGTAGAGAAAATCGGGCTCCACATCGAGACGCACCGCCGATGCATCGGCGATACGGCGCGATCCTCCGACACCATCTGCGGCAGGTTCGTGTCGTGCCGACTTCAGCATTGGTTCCTGACACCGGGGGGATCGTTTAACCTTGAGCAATCGGCCGTTTCCGAAACGTCAGATAGTTCATCATCGTCTGGTTCTGGGTCGCCGATGGCGTTCAAAGCTGACACCGGCGGCGGAGTCGCCGCCGGTCGACACGATGCGAGCCTACTGTAACCCGGATAAGCGATTAAGGACCCCCCCCCCCCTCTCCGGTGAAAAGATAACGCACCCGGCACCCGGAAGCGTTATCCTGGCACCAGGAGGGGGTACACCCTCCTGAAAGAATGAGGAAACGCATGCGGAGGAGTCAGAGAGCTTCAGTGGCCACGCGTCTTTCCAGTGCTCGACCCTCGCTGTTCGGTGCCGTAACCATGTACACTGATCCACTCCTACTCTGGCTCGGGGATTTATTTTGGTCCTGCCGGGTGCTAAGATAACGCCGCGGTGCGGGGCGGGGGCGATACCCTGGGATGGACCACCTCCTACGACGGCCGAAAAAAATAATTGTTCCAAAGGGGTTGCAATAGAAATCTCATTAGAAAAATGGGGGCTGGAGGAAGAGAAGGAGGAGGAGGAGGAGGAGGAAGAGGAGGAGGAGGACACGGAGGAGGACGCGCTCACAGACAAGGCTCCCGCCTTGGACTTCCTCCATACTCAGGCCTTGGGGGTACTCTGCGAGGGTCACTGCGAGGGTCACAAGTTCTCCTTAGCTTTTCCTTAGTTGTCCTTAGCTTTTCCTTAGCTTTTCATTAGTTTTCCTCAGCTTTTCTTAAGTGTTCCTTATTTTTCCTTAGCTTTTCACTAGCTTTTCAATAGTTGTCCTTAGCTTTTCATTAGTTGTCCTTAGCTTTTCTCAGCTTTTCCTTAGCTTTTCTTCGCTTTTCTCAGCTTTTCTTGATCTTTTCCTGAGCTTTTCTCAGCTTTTTCTTAGCTTGTCTTAGCCTTTCCTTAGCTTTCCTCAGCTTTTTCTTAGCTTTTCTAAGCTTTTCCTTAGCTTTTCTCAGTTTTTCCTTATTCGTATTCGTATTCTCATTTTCATTACAATTCTAATTGGGATGCCACCCGAGGCGGGGCGCTGGAATTATTTATTTTCCTTCCATGTGCGCGGTGCTAATAATATCGCTCGGCGAAAACCCCCCCAAATAATTATTTAATTACGGCGCGGTGCTAATGATAACGCCGGGGGGTTCCTTAATTGCTTCTCCGGGTTACTCCGACCCCATCTTGAATTGAGCAGGGACCGACAGTCCCAGCATTCCTATGGGCATACCACGTACTGTTCTTAGAGCCCGAAAATGTTCACTGAACAAAAACAATGTTCTTATAACATACATCCGATGTGTCAAAACAAGACGGTCCCAACCAGAAGTGTTCTGAGAACAGCTCGTGCAGACCACCGAAGGCTCTCAGAACATTCCTTCGTAGGCACATGGGAAAGCCAGAACGCTTCGCCACTGCTCGATTGGAGGCCTAGACCCAGACTCCACGTCATGATTTTTTCATTGCGTCGACCCCTGGAGGTCTCGACCCATTCCCCTGGAACGGTTCTTTACCCTGAGTCGTTTTTTGACGGTCCCGAGGGCCAGTAAGGGCCCAAAAGGCCGAAACTTGCAAAAAACATACAAAAAACAAACAACTACGTCATGATTCTTGTCATTACCCGAGGGGGTCTGGGGACGATGGGGGGAGTCCTGCAGCCCGCAGCCGCCGAGCAGCTCCGCATCCCCCAGCGCGCGCCCGCCGAACACGAGGCGCTGCTCGGCCGCAGGCACGCCTCGCGCGCGCGGCCACGGGGCGCGCTGGCGGGGTATCCGGCCGACGGACGGCCTGGCGCCCCTCGGCGGCCGGCGAGGTTCGCGGACGTTTTCGCAGGTTCTAGCCTCGGGATGGTTGCCACCAGCTGCGCCTCGCCGAGGGCGTTTCGGGGGTGCCTGGATGGTCCCGAACGGCCGCCAGAGATCCGAGTTATGAGCCAACAGCCAAGTTCGGCGATGAGGGAGGGGGGGAAAGAAGGGAAATGCCTTCTCAGAAGGCGGCGGGGCTTCTCAGAAGCCCTGTGGCCTTCTGAGAAATCGGTTGCGTCCTCGGGGCAGGCCTGGAAAACTTCTCAGAAGGCCCGAGGCCTTCCGAGCCTTCGGAGAAGGCCCGCCTCGGGGATCTACTGACCTGGGTCCATCCGGACCCCGATCAGTCAGGCGATGCAGGATCCTGCAAGACCCTGCAAAATCCTGCAGGATCCTGCAGGATCCTGCAGGATCCTGCACCGAAGCCCGGGCCCTTGCAACCCTGGCCATGCAGGATCCGGCAAGGTCCGATGCTCCGACTGGCCCCCGCTTGCGTGGACTGGAGGCCTTCTGGAATAGGGTCGGAGCAGCTGGCGACGTCGGCGGCGCCTCGGCGACGCCGGCGCAGGGAAAATCGGGCCCCCGTTTGCACCAAGGGCTCCCAACTTCGCGCTTCGCGCTGCGCGAAGCGCGAAGTGCGAGCAACTTCGCACTCTCGCGCCGCCTCCCAGGGGGAGGAGAGGAGGACGAGGAGGGAGCGGAGCCGAACCGCGAAGCGCGAAGCGCGAATGACTTCGCGCCCTCGGGGGCGCCCTTCTTGCACTGGCCCCCGTCGCTGGGGCCCAAGCCGCCCCTCCGCACCTCCCCGCCTCTGGAGCGCCGCCGCGCCTCGCCCCTTCGGCGGCGGCGGCTGCTCCAGGATGCCTCGGGCCTCGGGCGCCGGGGCCCGTCCTGGGCCGAGGGTGGGTGCCTGCGCTGGCGGATCCGGCCATGGGCCCCCCTGGGGGGCGATCTTTCGATTGTGTGTTGACCATTTTTGGATTTTTGTTGGGGCTATTTTGCAGTTTTCCTCCAAACTCTGCCTGTAGGGGGACACGCGCTGGCGGATCCGGCCATGGGCCCCCCCCACCCTGTTGCCCGTCGCCCCCAGGCAGGTCCTCTGGCGGTCTTCTGGCGGTCTCCCTGGTGGTCTTCTGGCGGCCTTCGGCGGTGTCTGGCGGCATTCGATCGCGGAGGACGCCCAAAAGGACACGAGGCTCGTCCGAGGGCGGCGCGTTCCCCCAGGCAAGGCGAGGACATGAAACGTGAGGCGCAAGGAGGAGAAGTGAGGACGGGGGGAGAAGGACAAGAGGAAGAAGGGTGAGGAGAGGAGGGTGGGAGACGAGGGCGGGGTAACAGGAGAGGAACGGTGAGGGCAAGGGTGAGGAGGGGCAGAGAATGAGCTGGGAAGAGGGGCATGGGAGAGGGGAAATGGCAAGGGCATTCCGACCACCCAGAAGCCCAAAGGTCATGCTTCCAGTTTCGATGTTGTCGGTGGGACCCCCTCCGATAATCCTCCCTCCTCCTCTTATCGGGGGCTTGGACAGAGCTCGTCAAAAAAAACACGTCACCGGCTCTGATCCCGAACTGCAAAGGTTGAGTGGCCTTGTCAAAAAAAAACACGTCACCGGCTCTGATCCCGAACTGCAAAGGTTGAGTGGCCTTCCGTAATCAAAGCCTCTAATAGGATCGAGTTGCCTTGGCATTGCCAGGCCTGTGACCTTGACTGTAGGGAGTCTCCAAGGCAAAGGCAATTCAAGAAGTCTGCTGACCGCATGGGAAGGGATGAGCAGGAAGACGAGGAGGAGGAGACTGTCCGATACCCCATCGGCGGTGACGCGCAAAAAGATGCACAAGAGTCTTACCAGGGCCGTAACACGACAGAACTGAGAAGTCGGAGGAGCGGGGTCATGGTGAGGACTACGAAGAACAAGGAGGAGGTGTGGGGAGGATGAAGGACGAGGAGGTAGACAAAAAGGGGTGACGACGAGGGTGGAGGAGGGAGGAGGAGGAGGGAGGAAGAGGAGGAGGAGGAGGATCGAGGAGAAGAAGGGGTGAGGGGGAGGAAGGATGGAGGGAAGACCGTTGCCCTGCCTGCCACCCACGAGTCGAGGTGGGCGACTCCGAAGCAGCGAGGCAGCCTCCGAACCTCCGCAGGAGGGAGCAGCAAGAGAAAGAAGCAGTCGGAGCACGTGCGTCATCAGAAAGACCGAGCTAGACCCAACGATACCGCAACACACCCTGAGACAGAGAGCCGATGCCCCCCGCTCGACTCAGGGAAGGAGGAGGAGGAGGACGAGGAGGAGGAGGAATAGGAAAAGGAAAAAAGGAGGAGGCTGCAGAAGAGGAGGACGAGGAGGAGGAGGAGCAGGACGAGGAGGAGGAGGAGGACGACGACGAGGGGGAGGAAGGGTGACCAGTGTAACTCCAAGACTGTCAACGACGTTGGAATAAACCATCCCTCCAAGCTCCTCCTTCACAGGCCCCTACGACGATTCACTTCCACTGAGGAAGTGCCCCGTTGGGAGACAACTGTTTGAAGATCCTGAAGCACCATTCTCGGAACTCCAGCGCCACGAACCAATCTGACTGTTGCGTTAAAATGATGATCGTGGACCATGCTCGAACACCGTTCGTGGTAGCTCAAGACCGCGAATCAACGACATTGTTGCGCCCTGGCAATCCTTAATCGTTCCAAAACACCCTTTCTGGCACGTTGACAATGGAATCCGTGAAACTCTTGTTCATGTTTAAAACGAATGTGCGCGGCGCTAAAGCGAGAACCACATTTTGAAAAGGAACCGCCCTGCATCCGTAAAACTCTTGCTCATGTTGAAGACGAATGTGCGCGGTGATGAGGCGAGAGCCACGTTTTGAAAACCGCCCGTTCTCCATCTGTGAAGCTGCACCCGTTTTGTAAGTTTCAGGATCATAACTTCTGCGGAAGTCCCAAGCGAAACGCATGGCCCGCCGTTCCGACTGGCCGGTGCGACAGGGAAGAGTCGCTTATAAGGGAAAGGAATGGAGGGGGAGGGGGAGGAGCAGGAGGAAGAGGGAGAGGATGATGATGATGATGATGATGATGATGATGATGATGAGGAGGAGGAGGAGGAGGAGGAGGAGGAGGAAGGGGAAGCACGAGGGCGGAGGAGGAGGAGCAGGAGGAGGAGGAGGAGAAGCGGAGGAGGACGAGAGGAGGGGCGAAAGGAGAGAGGAGCGAAGGAGGAGGAGGGGTGCACTGCCCCGCCCGCCACCCCTGGACTGGAAGGGCGGGCGGGGGGCGGGGGGCGGGGGTCGCTTGATGGGCCTGTTTTCCACCACCACCACCACCATAGGGGGTCCTCCTCCTCCTCCTCCTCCTCCTCCTCCTCCTCCTCTTCCCTCTCCAACTTATGGTGGTGGTGGTGGAAAACAGGCCCATCCTCGCTGGCGCGGGGCGGGCGCCCTGCGAGGCGGCGATCTGGTGTTTCAGGCTCGAGACGTCCGCCTCGCCGCGCGCGCACGCGCCGCGAGAGGCGGCGCGAGGGCGGCCGCCCTCGACGGCGCGCCGCCTCGGGGGGCTCCTGGTGTGGCGGGACACCCGCGGTCATGCCGTGGCCAGGAGGAGCGCCAGGTGTGCGAGGAGACCTGGCCACTCCCCCCCCCCTCCCAAAGCACCGACGCCCTTCCCACCCACCTCTACGACCACCACCCACCCTCCACTAGGACCACCACCCCTCCCGACGCAGTACGCCTGAAAACGTCATCCACCACCTCCGTACCATGGATGGGTATACGTATACTGCGTCGACCGAAACGCCAGCGAGCATTTCGCGGACCTGAGGGGCCGGAGGGGCAGGGATTAGCTTGGGATGCATGGAGGATGAAGAGAGAGAGATTAGGGGATGGTTCGGGGAGGACGACCAAATGTTGTATTCCCCCCGAGGTCCCTGGAGGGGTCCTCGGGGCAGGATGGGTGGCTGCAGGATGAACTTTCGTGTGCCACGAGTTGAGTCGAGTCGAGAGGTGCGCGAGGCGGTGGCTTATCCAGAAACCACCGCCTGGGGGAGTCGATCTTGGGGGGCTCGGCGGGCGATGGATCTGGACATGTTTGGCCCCCCAGGGCCTGCCATGTCCATATTATCCACCGCCTGCCGCGTCCCCGAAGATCGATTCGCCCAGGCGGTGACTCATGGACAGATCCCCGGCCTCGGATAAACAACTGGTTGTTTCTCCCTCGACTTTTCCCCTTCGAGAGGAGGAGGAGGAGGAGGAGGAGGAGGAGGAGGAGGCCCGTGGCGGCCCGAACGCGCCCGGGTGCACGAGGGGCGCCGGAGGAGAGCAGCCGCGGTCGGGCTTCCGGAGCAGCGGGCCCCTTCCGAGCCCGAGCTGCTCCTTACTTCAGCGTCTTGACTGCACCCAGACCCAGCAAGGCGGCAGTGCCACGTATACGGTAATCACGCCTGGTCCGAAAAGTAACTCCTCCCTGGCGCACAACAAAGCCCTTCATCCGTGCAACCAACCAGTGCTGTCTAGGGGGTCCTGGCTGAGGGCGGGGGGGGTATTGGCCCCCAGGAGCCGCAACAAAAAGCCACCCCCACCCCCAGCCAGGACCCCCTCGGATCACCAGGTCGGGAGTGCAGGTCCTGGCTGCGGATGGGTTGGGCTGTGCTGTCCTCACTCTCTTGCCCCTTGCCCGATGAGGAAACAAACGGAGAGGGACTAAGGGGAAACGTCAAACTGGAATTGGCGACGCACCGCCGATTCAATCGGCGGCAGGTCCCCGATCCGATAGCGAACCCCCGCGCTCATGGGCGGGATGGGCTGTCCGGCGGCGAGGCGCTCCCCCCTGACAGCACGGACCCAGGACGAAGAGAAATCCGTTCCAGGGCACTCCAGACCGCTCTCAGAACGCCCTGGGACGCTCTGAGAAGGCCGCGGCGCCCGAGACATACTCCAGAGCCGCCGGATCCCAGAGATGCTCGACGTATCCTCACCCGAACTTGTCCTCGTCCTGGCCTCGTCTTCCCCGAACGCACCCCCCACTGAAACTCCCGGCGACCGGTGCTTGCCCGGAGCGCTGCCGTCGCGGCGAGCAACCCACGCGGCGGGCACTCAGCGGCCGCCGCCCGCGGCCGAGGACGTCGCGCGTCGCAAAAAGCGCCCCCCCCCCCCCCCATACTGCGTTGCCCCCTGAAGCTTGTCGGGGCCAGGGCGCCGGGCGGCCAGGCGGGCGCGGTCGAGCTCGGCGCATGGCACGGGCCACCGCGGGGGGCGGGGGCTCGCCCTGCCCCTCCGGGCGCTCGGCCTGGGCTGGCCCGGCCAGCGTGGCAGGGCGGGGCCTGCAGACGGGGAGAGCTGCGCACCGAAGCTCTACGTCGAGACAACCTCGATGGTGTTTTTGGTTACCGTCTGGGCATAACGGGCGTCACGCCCCTTACCCTCACCCCCCCTCGCCCCCCCCCATAGCGCAACGCTCCCCCCTCAGTGCGTCCCCGACACTGCCGCACCGACCGCGTCTGGCACCAGTCTGGGAGGGGGGGCGCTACGTTATGCCCCTTCCCGCTTTCCCCCGCCCCCCCCTTTATACCGCCCATTATGGCCGCAAACAAAAAATTGTCTCTTCTCATTGCACTGGCTTTGCAAACGTGTTGTTGCGGATTTCTGCGTGAATTGCTGCATGGATTTTTCCCCGAAGCGGCGAACGAAAAACGAAGTGAGTTTCGCGAGGTTGGGGGCCCTCACTCCTGATCCCCCCCCTCAAAAAAAAACTGAATTCGCTCCGAAATCCGGAACGAAATTCTCCCGGACTCTCCGAGCCCATCCCATCGTTTCCCGAACGAAATCCGCTCTGCGATGTTGGCGCCATGACCTCTCTCGTCGCGAAGAAAGGACGGCGGGGTTATTGTGGATCGTTTTCGGCCTCTGGGGGCCCTCACCAGGCCCCAGGACCGTCGAGCACGGCGGGCGCATTGGGCAAGACACGTTTAGACACGGAACCCAGGGCCTGGAAGCCGATGGATATCACGGCCGCCCCCATCATCGAACTAATCCCCCATGGTCTGCAGCCCCCATGTGCACATTCAAATTTCACATATGTATATATATAACTACACATGTACACTCACCTGTGTTATAGACATGTATATCTATGTGTGTAAACTGACTGGTTCACTATATAAATATCACTACCAATGGTAAAATGATAGGTTTCGGTTCGTTTTCGCCCCCCGCGATTTTGAAATTTCTGTTGAGGCGGCTCGATGCAACGGTTGGATGATGATTCTTATCCGCAATGGTGCGGAATCGTTGTTCAAACCCAAGCATGAGCGGCCCCTGTCTCACACCATGCACCCGCGAGCCCAGCACATGTATAACCTGCACCGCAGGCGCTGCCGAGCCTCGAGACCACTTGCAGAGTCAACGCCCGCGGTGCCGCGTCAGAGGCCCCCAGCCAGCGTGACTTCCGCCACGCGGGAGAGAAAGGTCGTCGTCGGGAGGGAGCACGCGCGGCCGCCATCGATTGAGCGCGACTTCGCGACGGCACTCCTGCAGTGGAGCCCCGTCACCCAGCGAGCCGAGTTCCGCCGATCGGAGGTAGTCGGCGCGCGGCCGCCACGGCGCTTCTTGAGCCACCTCTTGAGGAACGACCAACTTTTCTCGATGTAGCTCGTTGTGAATCCGCGCTGGCGTTTGACACGCGCACCCGCCCCCCCCCCCCCCCCCCCCCCCCACCCCCCCCCCACCCCCCCACCCCCCCCACCCCCCCCACCCCCCACCACCCCACCCCCACCGCCACCACCATCACCACCACCACCACGACACCAAACCACCACCACCACCACCACCCACCAACAACAACAACAACAACAACGACAACAACAACAACAACAGCAACAGCAACAACAACAACAACCACAACAACAACAACAACAACAACAACAATCACTTTACCCGAACGCTCAGTGTTCTCACCAGTGCCAGGGTTTTCATGCGACGCCAGCCAATACCCCCACTTTGTGGGGGGGCAGTGCAAGCTCTACCAAATATCCACACGACTCTTCGCCACCACCCACACCCAGCTTCCCGCCCTATGACGTTCGGACACTTCACTTCGTGGCCTGCGGACGACCGTGGCTACTACACTGGCGTGGAGTACACACCCACAGAAGTTGTTAAGCCTACGTTCGTACACCCACAGAAGTTGCTAAGCCTTGTTAACCCACAAAAGTCGTGCAGGTGTTCTTCGAGGACCTACGGTGCGATTCGTGTGATTGTATGATGCGCGGTGCTAAAATTCTTAAGAAGCCCAATGGTTTTTGGAGATTTCGGCGTGCGCGCGCGAAGAAAAAACGAATGTGTCCCGCATGGTATTATTTGACAGGGATGATGGCCCTGGCAGGTGCGCAACCGTTGTCGCAGAAGTTCGAAAAAGTTGCTCGCAAAAGCCCGTTTGACAGAAATGTTTAAAAAAGTGTTGGGTTTCCTACGAATCCGCAAGAGCGCGCGGGATGAGATTTTGACAATTTTTTGTTGAAAAACCATTGGTTTTTTTTTATGTTTTTATGTTAAAATCGTTGCGAACACTAAGGTTTTGGAAGGATTTCGTCTTGCGCGCGCGAATGTCCACTGTACCTTATTTTTTGCAAGGGATTCTTGAAATTTGATTATATTAGAACAAGAAATGTCATTTTCTATTGTTTTTTGCAAGGGAAAGCGGATTACAACAAAACAACCGGATCCTGTACACACCCTCTGTTCTGAGGCTTCCTCACGAAAATGATGAAAATGTAGCTGCGGCCTAGGCGGCGCAGGGGGGGCGCGCACCAGGGGGCCCAACAATAATTATTCTTTAGAATAAATAATGTTCAACAACAACAACAACAAGAACAATCACACACACACACACACAGACACACTGGGAATGCACGACGATCTCGCGCTTCAAGTCCCTGTCCGACCGCCCACCCCTGTCCTCGTCGCGCTTGATGGCCGCGAGAATGGCCTTCCACCCGTCCGCGGCGACGACCGCGCCCTCGCGGGGGCCCCGCGCGCCGAAATTCGCCCCCATATCCTTTTTGCCGCGGGGGCGCCCGTCGAAAGCGCCCTCTGGGTGATCCAAGACTCGGAAGGCGAAGCTCTCTGGGCTGCCCTGCGCGACAGCGCCCCGCTACCGACCTTTGCCCCACTTGGCACTTGGGGCGGGCGCCTGGCGCGAGGCGGCTGACCTTCGATTTCCCCGGGAAGACCTCGCCGGCCTCCACGACGCATTCGGCATGCTTCTTCTTGGAGGCTATCTTTTTCACGCCCTCATCGGCGATGCAAGACGCGGCGACATCCTGGAACTTATCCACCCAAAGGCCCACGACGTTACGCTGCCTGTCGAGCTCGCGAGGGATCTTCAAGCGCGGGCACTCCTGGGCCCACATTACCATGCAGTCGAAGAGTGGAAGCCAACTTGGCGTCTTGACGTCAGCCAACAAGGTGCCCTTCGTCACGGAGATCTCCACGT